CCCTGACCCCTAGTACCTCAGAACGTGACTGTGTGTGAAGGTAAGTTCTTGCAGGAGATAATTAAGCTAAAATGGTGCATTTAGGGTGGGCCACTATTGTTGGTGTCCTTATAAAAAGAGGAAATCTGGAAGCACCAAGAGACACCAGGATGTATGCACACAGAGGAAAGACAAGGAGAGCAGCCTCAGGAGCAACAAAACCTGCCCACACCTTGATCTTGGACTTCCAGCCTCCTGGACTGTGAGGAAATGAATTGCTAGGGTTTGAGCCAACTGGTCTGTGATGTTTTTGTTACAGCAGCCTGAACAGACTCATACAGGCAGTTAGAGCTGTGGAAGGCAGGTCACTGAAGGAAAGTGTGAGAATGAGAAGAAGACCGGGAGACCAAGCCTTTGCAAGTCTAGATGAAGACCATGAGGATGGGTAGGGGACCTGACCACAATTCCCAGAGGGCACGGCCTGGAGAGCAGTGTCCTGGGTGTGGGATTTCACTGTATTCTTAAATTTCCACAGCACCTTTCCAGAGGTCTTTCCCATCTAGTCTCATCTTTCCCCAGCCCGCCGGCAGCTGGAGAGGTAACTGACCGTGGGCACGTTGTCAGGCGTCGGTTCCTGGTCTCCAGAGCTCAGCCATAAACTGCAGGCTGAGAGTTCTTGGACAGGTGCCAAGGCAGGACCACTATCTCGGCTCTCCCTTATCGAAGCCCAGTCATTTATATTTTAATGAGATTATTTTCCAACTCAACAGTTTATCTTTAGTTTCATGTTCCCCTTGCCATCTGGTCCCCTTCTGCTTGCATGTAAGGCTAGTGGCTTTCTTTGTGCAAGTAGATTTGTCAATAGTTTATAATTTTTCTTGTCATGATCATAATATTTATTTTTCACATCAGACAAACTCTTCTGGAGACTTGGAGGAAAGGGGTTTTTGTGTGGGTTTTTTTGTTTGGTTTGGTTTGGGGTTTTGGGGGGGGCAGTTTGGGGTTTGTTTGTTTTTTTCTTTTTGGTCACATCTCTCTGTAACCTGAAATTTTTTTCCTCTGGGAACCATGTTTTTAAAACGAAGTATTACATAAAAATAAATGAACAAAACCTCCCAAGCCAATATATCTTTGAGTTCTAATGACTGTGTGGATACCCTGAACTAGCACTTCATTTAAAGAGCTGTGTCAGAGCAGGCTGGCCTCGCAGCGAGTGGTCCAGAAGGTTTGACCTCAGGCAGTGGAAGTTGCCTGCCTTCCCTCTAACTCTAAACCCAAACCCAGGAAAATCCCATACCTAGGAGATTTTTATGTATCTGTTTCTAACCTCTAGCCCCGAAAGTTCTTATCTTAAAGCTGCTTATTTTCTGTTGTTCAAAACCCTAGGCCCCTCCCAGTTGCTTTGGCCTTCCTGATTACTAATCTTTTTCATCATCAACATTGATGCTATTTACCATCGCATTATCTTGAGATTTTTTTTTCCCCCTCCAGGGAAGGGCTTTGGTGCTCCAGGCTCCCCCTACTGGCAGAGGGCACTCTGCGCCTGCTAGGAGACCGCTGGGACTCCAGGGCCCTCTCAGGAAGCTTAGTCTTGGCAGTGGGAGGCCAGGCCTGGCCATGGGGCCTGGAACACGATAAACTGACCTCAAAAGCTCCCTTTGGCCGGCCACTCCTCTGACCTGTTCCCCGACATGCCCATGGCACCCCGCCGCCGCCTGGCACGCTGAGGGCTCAATGCATAAATGAATGAATGGCCTTGTTTTCTACCACCAGCACATGCGGCGATGTCAACAAAGACCGAAAAAGAAAAGCATTATGGCTGAAATAAAACATGAGAGTGTTGTTCGGACCTGTTGGAGAGAAAGTGATGAAAAAAATCACTGACGTCTGATATTCCTACACTTCCAACTTCCGGACAGCCTTCAGTCCCGGGGAGGTTCGGATCAGGGACTCCATCGTAAGGATGATGGGAACCTCAGTGGGGTTTGTTTGGTTTTTTCTGAGGATTAAAGAGCTCACAGACGTAAAGCCTGGGCAGGTAGTAAGAGCTTGAAAACAGTTGATGGTCTACCCCTTCCCTCTAGGACACCACAGAGTCAGGCCCAGAAGTCTGGGTTCTCGGTTCCTGGATGGTTACCCTTCCTGCCCCGCCTCAGCGCCCCTCCCACGCCGTTCTCAGGCTCTGATAGGAACACCCCTGGAACAGTAGGCAGGGCCCCCTGGGCAGAGAAGGACACTCTCCTGCTCCCATCTTTCAGGGGTTGGGGGGGCGTTGCACCCCCCACGTCTAACATGATAGCTGCTAAATAGCTGGCCATAGAGCCTGGGAACCGTGCAAGGTTGCAGACGAGAGACCCTACGGTCATCACTGCACTGTGCTGACTCCCTGCTGGCAGCTCTAAAAAATAAGTAAAGCGAGGTTCTAAGGCCCAATAGCTGAAGGGGGAGCCCACACAGATACATCTGCTTGGAGGGACACGGATTACGCTTCAAACTTTTCTTCCCAGTAATAAATGCACTACTGAGTTGCCATCAGACACTGTGCCAGTGATAAGTATCACTTGTGTCCCTGTGGACCAGGGAGCCTCAATCAATGTATCATTTTGAGATGTGGCCCAGGCTTTGTGTCTGGTCCGACCTTTCTCTGAGTATTTAAAAAAGATCGGAATAGTTAAAGTAGATTCTCATTTTCCACAGTCCTCCTGCTAAGGGCCAGGCGGATTTTACTCTTTTTTTCTCTGACCTTTTCCTTAATGCCATCTTCCTAGGGGTGTGACGGGCCCCTCCATCCGCCCTCCAGGTAGGTGACAGGAACTCCATCGTGTTGAAGGGCCCCCTGGCTCCCCTATTCCTTCTCTCCTTCTCTCATTTGTATATTCAGAATTGACCCTTCTGTCTGGTTAAATAGTTAGTGAATGAATTGATAAATTAAAAATGGTCATTAACTCCCAAAGTTTCTTTTGTCTCCTGTGGAAATTTTCTTTTAGAAATCAGTACACTGGAGGGGGGGGTGGCGCAATCCCCCTTAAAGAACTGGCACGATCCTTTCAGTGAATGAGCACCAACTGGGTAGAATATATCCATTTCTCTTTTTGTGTAAAAGGAATTCTATGCTTGGTAGGTAAATTCAGTTAAGATTTGGGATTGGCATATTTACATGGTGGGTTTTGTTTTTTTTTTTCTTGAAGATGAGGCTGCGTTTCTATTCTTTTGCTAATTGGTTTCTCTTTTATGCAATGTAGGAGTCAGAAAGGAGTGATATTTAGGTAGGTAAGAGGGAAGGAAGAAATAAAGGGAGGGAGAGGGAGAGAGGAAAGAAAACATATTCCTCTTCACCGTATCACTCGTTCGTTACCAGAGTGATGCGGCTTTGCAAGTTGAGACTGGGACTTTTTTAAAGATTCATTTATTTATTTATTTATAGAGCGAGGGGAAGAGAAGGAGAAAGACAGGGAAAGAAATGTCAATGTATGGTTGCCTCTCATGCACCCCCAGCTGGAGACCAAGCCCGCAGCCCAGGCCTGTGCCCTGACTGGGAACCGAACCAGTGACCTTTTGACTCTCAGGCTGGTGCTCAATCCACTGAGCCACACCAGCCAGGGCTGAGATTGCAATTTAATGATAGTTGCCTGGGACTAATGCTTGGCATACATCCAGACTGATGCTAAGTATTTTATGTCTATAAACTCATTACATCCACAACAGGCTATAGGACACAGAAATAGCCCTACCGTACAGATAAGTAAATTAAGTCTCAAAGAGGTAAAATAACTTGGCTTGAAACAGAAGAAAGTAGAAATGACTGCCTCCCAATGGCTTCCACAAGGCTGTCAGAGTTCAATCCAAATTGGTCTGATCCTTCTTCCCCACCTCCCCACCAAGCCTCCCTCCCTCCATCCTTACCTGACCTAGGGCAGGAGCCTCTCCACTGGCGGCCACTAACTCACCCTGAGGCCCGGAGGGATGGGACTTGGCAAACAGCCATTATCTCCTTACTGCTACAACTCCTGGCTGAAGGGATAGCCATTGGCCTTTAAATTATTTTTAAAGACATTGTGTTTAAAAAAAAAATAGCAAAAGAATGCACGACACGGATTGTAAACTCGCAAGCTGGATGGTGGGAAGCCACTTAGATCCGAGCTAAGAAAGCTGATAATGAAATCGGTGTTGGCAATTGTGAGGAAACTATTAAAAAACACCTGGATGCTCTAACGTCCCAGAAGTGAGTCAGATACTTCGTAGCTTTCACAATGCCGTCAGCTATTGCTCCAAGCTCCTTGCCCAGCAGGGCTCGGGAACAGCGGGCTTCGGAACCTCCAGGCTTGGGAACCTCGGGGCGATCCCCGGGACTCCATTCACACCCCGATTGACAGACCGTGGGCCCCAGTGAGAAAGGCGATCCCCTGAGCACACACATACACACTCACACACATCCCACACGGTTACAAAGCACAGACGGGCACAGGAGCCCAACATATATACAGGCGTGTGCACCTACAAATACATACTTCTCCTGCCCACCCACATCACACCACAAACACGGGCACACGCGACCACACACACCGCTCCCGCTCAAGCATGCACACCATACACAGGCGCGGTAACACACGAGCTCACACATGCTCTACGCGCACACGCTCCCACACCGTGCACATCCCCTCTGGCGCACGTCCACGCCCCCTTGCACAGGCACACACAGCGCGCACAGGCTCACACCCCGTGCACACCCCGTGCACACCCCCTCTGGCGCACGCACACACCCTCGCGCGCCCACGCTCACACGCCGAGCGGCGAGGGGCGGGGCGGGGTTGAAGCGGCTGACGGTGCCAGGCCACGCGTGGCCAGGAGAGGGCGCGGCGCAGGGGAAGGCGGGCGGCGTGGGAGTTGTTTGCCCGAGCGGAGACCGGGAGACGCTGGCGGGGACGCCGGCCAGCTCGGGCTGCTCTGAGCTGGGCGGCCCGGAGGGAGCGCGTCCCAGGTCACGCCGGCGCCTGCGAGCAGAGCGCGGCGTGGAGCGCGCCATGGACCCCAAGGCGGGAGGCGGAGAGGAGGAGGACGACTGTGTGGACTCCGGCGCCGAGACCGGAGGGTAAGCCGGACCGAGGTCTGGGTGGGGGGCGCTCTCCGAGTTGCGCCGTGGTTCCTCTCTGGCCCGGACCTTCCTGAACCCCGCGGCGGAGAGGAGGCGCTGCGGCTGAACAGGGCGGCCAGGGCTGCCAGTCCCGCTGGCCACCCGGGGGAAGTCGGAGGGGCTGTGGTGGGCCCGCTGCCTCCCAGGCAGGCTCTGAGCGCAGAGTCGCGTGGTCCATGGCTACCCGGGGCAGGACGGGCCCACCCCGGGTGGCGGGGGAGGTGGGGAGACAAGATTCAGAGTACCCCCCCACACGAGTCCCCTCCTGCCCTCCGTTATCACTAAGACGCTGTGGCGCGCCGGGCAAATGCAGTGTCCCCCTGAGATCATTGTTAGAGAGACAAGCGATGCTCTTGCACCTGTTTCGACCTTCCACGAGGACTTTCTGCTTGTGGCTCCGGAGCCCCCTGGAGTCCGGATGGGGGATCCGGGATGAGGGAAAGAGGGTAGGGCACCCGGCACCCGAAAGTCTTTCAGAAGTCATCTAAGTTGGCATTTTTCATTGTAAGGCTTTACTGTGCTTGCTGAGCCCTCCTCTCCGCCGAACTTTCTCACCTTGTGTACCTGCCCCACCTGAACCGTTTGCCTTGGGTACAGGTGGGATGAAGACATAGCTAAAGAAATGCTCTTTTCACTTCAGCGATTCAGTTACCCTAAGCCTTCGGAGACTAATTAGCCTTCTCCCAACAAAACCAGTCGTCTGAATGTCTTTTAGGAGGAGAGCGTCCTTGTAAAAGCTTCCACCCAGCCCCTATCTCTCTAGAATTTCCCTGTGCAGAGTCAGCGCCACATCCAGGATATGTCCAGGATGCGGGTACTGACCCAGGAGGAAAGGGTGGGCATCCTTTCCTATCCGGAGTAACCCTGGGGGAGGGCTGGAGCTGCCCAGACAGAAAGCCTTGATCCTGGAAGGTTGGGGACTAATCTCAGGGGTTAACAAACAGGGCGGGGGCCGGAAGAGGGTCCAGCCCAGTATGGAGCCAGGGTTCTGACCTGACCCGGGAAAGGCTCCGTGCGCAGCCCCTCCTGCCAGCCCAGCCCCACCCATCCGGGCAGCTCCATTGCCGGGTTACCCCAAATCTGGACACTGTGCCCAAACACTTGCCCCAGAGTGTCCTTTCCCTGTTATCCAAACTTGGGGGCATCTCTGGTTCCCTACAGACCCCGGGGACATTCCAGCAGGATCACCTGATTCCAAAAATACTGAACTCCCTTGCTTTTCCCCACACTTTGTCTATGTGGCATTTATCAACTTTAATTGAAGATCCTTGGCTTCTCTCCCCTCCTGCCTTTAGTTAGAGGGACAGGAATAGGAGAAAGCAACAAAATTAACCAAGTCATTTTCAGCTGAGTTAAAGCACTGACTCGTGCTTCCCCCCCCCACCCCCCAATTTGCAAAGCTTACCCAAAACAAATATTTTTTCCCAAGGCCTCTCTCTAGGAGAAGTGGGTGGAGAGGAATCCGTGACCCCCTCCACGCAGGTGCATCACCCCAGGACCCCAAAGAGCAGCATCCAGCTGCCGGGACTCCTGGGAGGGGCTTGCTGATACCGAAGCTTCCCGTCTCTGCCTGCCCCAAAAGTGTGCAGTTGTAACTGGACAGAAATGTTTAAAGAATTCTTATGGCCTCAGGGGCAGCCTTAAGTTAAAGGGACCAGTAAAGTGGCCTGCATTTAAATAAAAGTTCCTTTGTGTGCATTTCGGTCTGGTATCTGCCACATAGTCACAGACCCCCTGAAGTCTAGTTATCAAAAAGCTCTTCACGGTTTCCCTGCTTTTGCAGAGCTCGCCCTCTCTCGCCCCCTTTGGCTTCCATATAGCTCGCTCTTGAGCTTGTGCATAAAAAGCAGAGAAAGCGCTTGATACCTGTTTGCTATCATGCTACTTAAAGCACAATCTGATCACGTGTCTCTCCCGTTCAAACTGTTAGCGGCTCTGTCGGCTATAAAAGGCAAAGCTCTCAGCCCGGCCTATGAGCCCTGATGCTCTGGCGTCCCTCCCCCTCTGGCCTTGTTTCTTGGCAGGTCTCCCCTGCGCCCTGCTTTGGGCCACATCGGCAGGGTGTTTCTTTCTCCTGCTTGCCTTTGTCAAGCTGACCTCTCTGCCGGCCATGCCCTTCTCCCCCTCCTGTGCCTGTCCGCCCGGTGAAACTCGACTCCTCCTTTAAGGCTCTGCTCAAGTGGTGATAGCATTCGTGAAGACAGGGGATACTGAATTTGGGGATCCATGACTTGTTTCAAGTTGTATGCAAACGATGTCATTTGTGCGTTTTTATGAGAAGAGACTGATTTTTCATCAGATGCTGGAAGTAGCCTGTGATCCGCTTTAAACCAAGTTTGGGCAGGGTGGGAGAAGGTGCATTTTCAACCTGTCGCATTTGCGGTATTGGGAGATGTCCACGGAGGGATGAAGAGCCAGAGCTCAGAGAGCAGGTCCACACGTTGACATCACACTGGGGAATGGTCAGCCTAAAAGTAGCAGTCGAAGGCATGGGAGCAGAGAGGAAGCTCACTAGATGCAACCTAGCATGCACTATGCGCCAGCTGCTGCTCTGAGCCTTCACATATTTCATGAACTCATTTAATCTTTCAACGACTTTATGAAGCAGGTACTATTTAAGGCGAGTCTTAAACATAAGGTTAAGACAGTAAAGGAGCCCGAGAAAAAGTACGCATGCGGGGGGCGGGGGGCAGGAAGACGGTGGTATCCCAGAAGCCAAGAGGAGAAAGGCAACAGAGATCGGCTGCACTGCCTGGAAACCAAGACAAGGAGCGTGAAGTGTGGTCTTTGTAAATGGAGGTAACGAGGGGAAGGGAAGGGAGGATGTGGCAGTGAGGGTGGAGATGGGCTTACTGAACTCCTCTGCCTGGCTCTGCTGTCTGCGTCAAGTACTAGAAGGAAGTTCCTGGTTTCCTCTAAGACCAATGTGCTAATACCTGCCCTGTCTGTCCAGTCAGAATTTCTCCATAACCACCAATCAGGATGCATAATGTCGACCAATTGTCGACAACATTAAAGGTGAACCCAAATAAAAGGTGGTGTGATTTGGAGAGTGGGGTAAGGGAAGGATTTCCTAAACGTAGGCAGTAATGGGGCAATAAATACACACAGAAAGGATTCTGTAAACGGGAAAGGATAAAGATATCCTGAGGGTCTATAATGTCAGCTGTCTGAAAAGGTGGAGGCAGGGAGATGTCAGACCACCCCGTGGATGGATTGGCTTTGGATAAGAGAGGTGACTTCTCCCCTCTTACAACAAGCAGGAGAGAGGGGAGTATGGGTTTCCCTTTGATAAAAATGCAGCCCTCCCTCCCCAGGAGAATGGAGGTTTGATGTAATTGTTGGGTAGTGTTGAGTGAGCACCCAGTTGAGTCAAGTCTACCTTGCTATTTATTTCCCTGTGGCAGTGCTCAAGTAGCAAAGCACAGGCAGGCAGAGAGAGATGGTAGGTATTTGGGGTCACCAAGGCTTGGGGGAGAGGGACTATTCCTAGAGTAAAACAAAGTTAATTTTAGACTGTCGTGAAGAATAAAAAGCATTTATTTGAGCAAAAGGAGCTGCAGCCTGGCAGAAACAGATTCAGATAGCAACAATTCATGTGCCCCTCTGAGACAGTGGAAGCTGACTTGTATAGAGGAAGTTCCTGCCCTTCCCAATTAGGTCCATTTTTTTTTGGTACACAAGGTATCTAAATTTATTCACTTATGATTGATCTGAATCGCACAGACCCTATTGGTCGACATTACGCATCCTGATTGCTCCTTATAGAGAAGTTCTGATTGGATGAACAGGATGGGTATTGTTAGCCCATTGGCCAGAAAGGAAGCCAGGAACTTCCTTATAATATGTGACTCAGACAGCACAGCCAAGCAGAGTAGTCCCTTAAGCCTGTCACTGAACCCAAGTGGGGTTGGGCTGCCTGCCACCTCCAAAAGGCAAACTCTAGAGGCAGAGGCTGGTGAGAAAGGAGGAAGGTGTTTATTTGAATATTGCATGGTCTGGGAGGATGACTGGCTTCTGTCTCAAAGCCCGTCTCCTCTGCAACACCCAGACAAAACCCAGCTGCCTTCAGCAAGACCAGGACGAAAGACAGAGCACAGAGTTCCTGTTCCCACTTAGAGGACCATCCTTGGGACCCACAGGCAGCTGCTGAGCGGTCACCCAAGTAGCTTAGCTTGTTCCTGGCTGCTGTCTGGCTCCAGGCTGTTTTCTGGAACCTGGCTGTGGGGCTGGCATCACCACTGGCCTCTGCATTTGCCAGGTAGGCCAGAGAGCATCCCTTCCTTCCTCTGGGTTCTGTCAGTTCCAGGTGTGGGATGGACCAGCTGCTTTCTCAGAACGCCTAATTCACTTCCCAAAATTCAGTGTGCTCTGATGGGTCAACCTCCCAACCAAGCCCTTCTCTCCCCTGGCTAGGCTGACAGGCCTCTGTGGTCCAGCACTGCCCCCTGCTGCCCTTCTGATCTGAAGAAGCTGGCAAGTCAGCTACTGATGGTGATAAACCATCTTAAAAAAAATACAGAATCCCTGCCCTGGCTGATGTGGCTCAGTGGATTGAGTGCTGGCCTGGGAACCAAAGGATCGCCAGTTCAATTCCCAGTCAGGGCACAGGCCTGGGTTGTGGGCCAGGCCCCCAGTAGTGGGTACACAAGAGGCGACGACACATTGATGTTTCTCTCCCTCTCTTCCTCCCTCCCTTCCCTCCTCTCTAAAAATAGATAAATAAAATCTTAAAAAAAATAGAATCTCTTAATATAGGGACAGGCAATGTTGTAAACCCAAATTAAAGACACAGAAGAAGACAATGCTTTATATTTATATTTGGCCTGTAAGCCATTCTTTCCAATATGACTCTACTTGATGGATTATTTTCATTTAAAAGTTTGATCTGGCATTAATGGACTTCGACTGCAGGGCCAGCTGTGCCTGAGCTTCTGAAAATATAGGGTCTGTCAACA